CATCGCATGTTGATATGGCAGTAGGTGCCAACCCTTACTGAACTATCATAGAATCATAGAATGGTTTGGGTTGGAAGGGACCCGACAGATCATCTGATTCCAACCCCACTGCCATGGGCAGGGACATATTCCAGTAGACCAGGTTGCTCAAAGCCTCATCTAACCTGGCCTTGAACACTTCCAGGGAGGGGGGTATCCACAACTTCTGTGGGCAACCTGTTCCAGTGCCTCACCACCCTCATAGTAAAGACTTTCTTATATCCAATCTAAATCTGCCCTCTTTCAGTTTGAAGCCACTACCCCTTGTCTTATCGCTACATGCCCTTGTAAAAAGTCCCCCTCCAGCTTTCTTTGTGGGCCCCCTTCAGGTACTGGCAGGCTGCTCTAAGGTCTCCCCTGAGCCTTCTCTTCTCCAGGCTGAACAACCCCAGCTCTCTCAGCCATCATTTCTTGGTGGACTACTTCCCCATCTTCCAGTGATTTGCAGCTCTGTGCTACTGTCGATATACTTCTCTTATACGAGTTTATTTTAAAACAATCTGTTGCTTTCTGAACTCGCGCGGAACCCCCTCCCGTGCCCTGCTGGCCATGCTGATTTTGATGCAGCCCAGGATACGGTTGGCTTTCTGGGCTGTGAGCACACGCTAGCAGGTCATGCTGAGCTTCTCATCAACCAGCACCCCCAAGTCCTTCTCCTCAGGGCTGCTCTCAATCCATTCTCCGCCCAGCCTGTATTTGTGCTTGGGATCGCCCTGACCCATGTGCAGGACCTTGCCCATGGCCTTGTTGAACCTCATGAGGTTCGCACAGGCCCAGCTCTCAAGCCTGTCCAGGTCCCTCTGGATGACATCCCTTCCCTCCAGCGTGTCGACCGCACCACACAGCTTGGTGTCGTCTGCAGATTTGCTGAGGGTGCGCTCAATCCTAGCAGTGATTTGTTATTTAGTGGGTATGTACAGCAACACAAGAAATCTCCCAATCAAACCAAGGAGTCGGTGGTGAGTTACCGTAAGTTTGGGCAGCTTTAAAGGAAGGGTGGAAGGTATTTCATTTCCTTATTTTTGTCATAGCCCTTTCTGTTAGTAGCTTTTCTTGTTACCTTTGAACTCTCATTTCCTCTATTAGTGAATTCCCCATTTTGGCATTGTTTGTATTTGTTTTCTCTGTGCAGTGGGTACCATATCCCAATGTGTGGAAACGCTGCTTTGGCACTTGCCTGCCATGAGCACTCCACGTGCTTTCAAGCTTTTTTTTTTTTTCTCTATCCAAGAATAACCGCATCCTTCCCCTTCCTGTTGCTCGATAGGTGTGTTGAACCTGGGCATCTGGTGTCTTCTCAGTCTTCAGAAATAATTATTTTCACTTAAAAGAGGTATAAGGAGGGATCTGTATGGCACTGTATGTGGATTTCATTCACAGCTTTCATAGTTTGGCCTGAGTTCCTGGTGAGCAAGTAAATTGCTGTTTGTGGCACTTTTAATTTACTGATGGTCACTTTTATTACTTTAATGGAGAGGGCTTTCAAAAGCACAGCATGCCGTCCAGAATAAACTGCTTGTAAGGTGGAATGATTACAGATACTTTTTAAAGGAATTTTAAGGCTAAATAAGCATGACTGCTGGCTGCTTGGTGTCTGTGCAAGCACATCTCTGGGGCTGTCAAGCGGTGTGGTTCTGAGGTAGATGTGGAGTGTCTCACAGTCAGCGAAACTCCTTTATAGATACTGTTCTGGTTCAAATCATCCAGGGATTTGCGGAGCAGAAGGTAAAGCAAAATCTAAATACACAGCAAAAAATTGATTTGCTAGTTTGAAATAAATCTTTGTTGTTATGTAAGATAGTACTGCCTGTACTGCTTTTTATTGAGTTTTTACAGGTTTAAATTGGAAAATCTTTTTTATGCTAAGCATCTGATCATTTTTTGTTTATTTCTACTGTAAAATATTTTCTTATCTTTGCATCCGTAGAATGTATGTTTCTTGTTCTGCAAGTTAGCATTTGAAGCTTTAACTCTAAAGCATTCAAAATGATCATTTACTACAGATATTTCTTGTGACAGTTTAATTAACTGTGGATTCTTGACCTTTAAAGTGCTGGAGCTACAAACATTTAATAACCAGCCATTGGATATAAAGTAATATGCTTGTTGTTTTACTAGCTTGCATACATGGCAGTTTGAAGCAAAGTCCAAGGGTCACCGAAATCGTGAAGTAAACTCCAGCGAGTCAATCTGAACTATGTATTTCAAAGCGTTGTATGAGTGTGTCACGCAGTATGTATGTACGAGCGAAGGCTGCCACATTGCATCTAAGGTATTTTTATGCAAGGTGCAGATTAAGATTTCTCCAAGAGCTTCTGTGATCTGCAGCCTACAAGGAGGGAGTGTAATTCAGTGCGATTACTGTGCTGCCTAGTCTTAAGCAAGCGTGTGTCTGCACAACCAAAGTGTTGACGCACATGGACTTGATGAGAGCAGTGAAACCCTGAGCAGAAGATCGCTGTTTTGGCAAGTCCCCTCCCTCAGCTTAGAGGAGACCACCAATGTCTTGGACAGAAGGGAAGATCGCTGAAGCTGACCACCCGGCACCATCGTCAGCTGAGTGGGTACCAAGGGCTTTGAGGGGGTAACTGTGTGCGGGAAGGACCAGGGAGATGCATGGATGGAGGTGGTGGGCAGGGGATTACTGATGGAGATGGAGTATGGGTAGGATTGAGACTTCAGAGAGTGAGCATGGTCGTAGTCAGTGGAAGTGGGACTGAAACTTCAGGTCAGTGCCTGTCTGCTGAGCCAAGGAAGGTTGTGTGGGTGCCTGACCCTGCTCCAGACCAGTGAGTAACACCGTATGCCTGCACGTAAGCCCCCGTGCGGGGGGTGGTCTGTCTGCCCCAGTGTTTGTGGGGCTGACCCCTGCTGTGTCCGGGTGCCCAGGCCAGAGCAGCCCCTGGCTCAGAAGACAATCCCGAAGCTGACATGATAGTTTTGCAAGGTTATTTAAGCCAGATCGGTTATGTAGGGCTTGAGGTTTTGCCAATAAATTGCCGTGCCTGGAGTTTCCAGTCCTGCAGCAAGAGAGGCTTCGGAAAGCCAGATTATGATCTTCACCCTGGGTTCCCAAGACCTTTGTCTGCAGGCATTCCT